CCTCAGCTTCTAAGAAGATGTAGCCCTCAGTCCTTAGGAATTTTTTCCTCCGTGGCACATTGTTTTCCTTTTCAGCATTGGTGGAAAATAAAGTCATCCTGTAGTATCTATAGGGCATTGGTTCCAGGACCACCATCAGATACCAAAATCTGTGAAGGATCAAGTCTTACATAAAGAGATATAACATTTTCATAGAAATTACACACATCCTAATGTGAATACTAGGTATATAATTGGTACATTGTGTGTATTGTGTATAGAATAGAACAAGGAAAAATATCTACATGTTCAGTGCAGATGCATTTTTTCTTAATATTCTCAATCCTCTATTGGTTGAACCTGGAGATATGGAAACTGCAGGTCTGGAAGGCCCACTGTATTTGCTTCATTTCTTTAACAAGCAATTCCTGAGGTCTGTGTAGGAGATGGAGAAGGAATTATATTGATATGTAAGGGATGGGCACACACTGTATCCAGAAAACAGTATGGAAGAGAACTTGGAGACATACTAGATTTGCTGTTAAACAGTACCTACCCAAGCACAACAGTTTGCTTCTTATTTCCTTTAGTAAATGCCCCTTTGTTCTTATCAAATTTGGGAATTACAGTGGACCTGTGGCACCATGGGTAAGGCTGAGCTTTGGTGTTTAGAGTCTAAGAGTGTTCAGTGGCCTGTGTTCTGAGATCTTGGCTTGCATGGTACCCTCCAAAGGCATTGTGAGCCTAATCTGCTCAAGCACAGAGAGTTGCAGTGGGGAATTCAGCAACAGATGACAAACAGGACAGGACTGCCTGCAGCTGAATAAAGGTTAGTTTCTAAGCACAATTTTTACTCTCAACTTAGTCTTGAATAGCTTTTCTGTCTCCATGATGAGCCACTACTCCCTAGTTGTCCTGTTGTTTTCTGCTAGCAATATCAATTTTAGATGTTTTATTTTTATTTTATGAGAGTATTTCCCAAGGCTGTTTTAGGAGTGGGCATGGCTCCACTTGCCATAAATACATCCTGTATCATTTGGGGTATGCGTCTCCCTTGCCTGTATACCTAGTTGCTCCTTGCTTTAGAGCATCTCTGGGCTTTGAGGGTTGAAAGACTTAATTACCCTGCAGGTCTAATTCCTTAGAGAGCAAAAGTTTTTGAAACCATGCACACATACACAGAAACACACACACACAGGCAACTGAAAGGAGCTGAAAGTTTCCAGTTGTTGAATTTTAAGAGGAAAACCTGTATTTTAATCATCAAGTGAATCATAATTAACTTGAAACATTAGGAATTACACTTACTTCAAAGAAAGATTAAACAGTAGCCTTAGTCTCTCTGATGAGACAATATTGTAGTATAAATATCTGTGGTTACTGTTAGTCTGTACTATTTATCCTTTGCAGTCAAATGTTTTGTCCTTTTCTGAAAAAGCATCACATCTATCTCAGGGAAGAAGCAGATCCGTATCTCTTCAGTCTTACATTATATCTCCAACATGGTGTCCACCATTATTAATAGCCTGAACACCTTACTCTCGATGTGGAGGAGAAGAAAAAATATAGGACAAGAAAGCATGGATTTGAACTGTACCTCTTCTCCTAACAGTAGGATAACTTTTCATCACTCTCAAGTTCCTCATTTTCAAAGCAGATATTATTGCAGGATTATCCGTAATGCTACCATTTACCAGAGACTTACATTACCGTGAGCAGGTACAGCTAACTATGAGTAATTTACATAAATTCTCTCCTTTAATCCTCCAACATCAAATGAGAACCTTTTATTTTTGGGCTGAGAAGAGCCTTCCAAGCACAAAAGCCATCAGAGACATGACAGAAGAAATAAGCCATTGACTTAACCACGAAACACAGTTAAAACTCAAAAAGATAAACATCCTTAATATAAAAATATTTAAACTCCTAGACCTCTATAGAAAAATGAGCAAAACTAGGGATAAGTAATTCAGAGAAAAGAAAATACAATAACTAAAAACACTTAAATATTTCTGTCTCTAATAAATCAAAGAAACTGAAACAAAAAGCATACCATTTTGTGCCTATCAAATTAAAAACAACAGCATTTTTTAAGTGAAAGTGCTCTATAGTAACCAGGATGTAAGGAAAGCAGCCCCCTTTACGTTGCTGGTGGGCACGTGAATTGAAACAGCTTTTCTCTAGAGCAGTGTGACAAAATGTGTCAAGAGACTCAACAAATGTTCACACACAGCTGATCTGGCAATTCTACTTCCAGAAACTTATCCTGAGGAAATCATCAGACGTGGGCAAGGATTTATGTAAAGATGCTAACTTCCATGTTATTTTCAATTTCACACAACCCAAATGGCTAACGGTAGACGGGAATGCCATAGGTTGGAATGACAGGCAATTGTGCTTTTAAAAAATATAAAGTGATATGAGAAAATTTCAAAATATATTAGAGTATGATGTCATCTTTATAAAGTGAAAAAATTTGCACACATAAGATGAAAAACTAGGAGGAAATATATCAAATGTTAGCAATAATCTCTCTGCAGGTTGGGATTATAGGTAAAGCTTACATTTTTTTTAATGCTTTTCTCAATTTGTTCAGTGGGATCCGGAGAAGGGAGAAAGTGTGTTTGTCTAACAGTATTATTTAGAATGTTAATGAAATGTTCGAGTGTAAAGAAAATTGTGATCGATGTAAATAGAAATATGTTTAAGGTTTCCCCATTATCTACAGCTCTAGTGTATTAAATAAATCAGAAAGACAGACATGGAATCACAGACGAATTGACACAGCACTGCTGGAATGGGTGTCTTCTTTAAAGCCCCTTTCAAACCCAGGCTAATGTTAAACATCAATCATTAACTCTCATGTTATCTGCTAATTTTATGTTTGGATTTCAGCTGTACCCCACAGTTTTATAACTACTTGAGGGACATGGGTAAGAACCTCTCTTTCCTATTACATGGATTGGGAAATAGGTGATGTTAAAATGAATTTATCTAAAATAAAGATGTTGATGTGTTTCTGTTTGGGCTGGACCACTGAAAGTACCAACCCTGCACTGAAGATGGTTTGCTTTAATGAAGTTCCTATTAGTACAGTTGTAAGTAGTTATGGAAATGAAAGGCATGCTTGCTTCCCCTTACAACTTTACGATTACTTTCTTTGGCCTCAGTGCTATGTTAGTCCAGTAGAAAACATGGAATCAGCATCACATCTGTAAAAAATCTGTATAAAAACAGTCTTTCATTTTGTGGCTGTAACATACACACACGCACACACGCACACACACGTACACACACACACACACACACACACACACCTAGTATTACATAGTCCCTTTGGTACATGCCCATATGGGAAACTATCTACATAGACAGTTACCACCACTAAGTGTAAAGGTTGAATGCTCACAGTATCCAAGGATTAAAAAGCATTAGAGAAAAAAGAAATGTCAGCTTTCATTGAACTAGAAATTCTCAAAACCACTGAAACTAGATTAAATATCTGGAGGTAGATCTTAGGGAATGTGTATTTTAAAAACCGTACAGAACATTCTAAAGCAGCCAATAGAAGCTGAAACTTTGGATGCACTGGCCTTGTTGTACCATACTGACCAAATTTTATTCTCTGCTGCCCAATATGATACTCACTACCCTCCTGTGATGCTTGAGCTCTTGAAATGAGGCCAGATTGAGGAATTGAATTTTAAATTTTAATTAATTATTAGATCTAAATTCTAATGGCCATGTGTGACCAGTAACTACAATATGAGACAGAGCAGCCCTAACACATTACATACTGCCCTTCACTGGGGGATACAGCTAAAGTCATTTTACAGGCCACTCTTCCAACAGGCTGTATATTTCATCTTTCTGACACAGTGATACACAAATATTGCTCTAGAACCCACTCCTGGGAGCATCCAGGCACCATCAAACCTTTGGTAGCCATATCCAGCCATGTGATCCAGATTTTGTAGCGTAATTTGCTCAGTGTAGTCTTTCACTCCCTGCTCAGAACATAAAATGGTACTTCTCATAATCTTCATCACCCCACAGAGCAGAAACCCAAACTCTCATTCCCAGCCCAGGATTTCTAACTCATTATACTTGGCTTTTCTTTTCTTTTGGTAGCAGTAGTACTGGTGATGGTGGTGGTGGTGGTAGTAGTACAGCAGTAGTTGTTTTATTTTTAAGAAAATCATTTCTAATCATCTCCCCCATTATTTAATGGGTTTAAAAGTTCATCGTGGCATGTTTTTATTGGAATTTTATGGAAAGTCGAGTATTGTAAACATATCCAAATGATCACAGTGGTATAATTTACTAAATCTTTTTCCTATGTATGCTTCTCTTCAAAATATGAAATAGATGGGCTCAATTTCAGTGCTCCAGCTATTCCAGACTTTACCTTTAGGGTTTCTCTAAACCTGGTGTGAAGAGACTAACTCCTGACAGAAACAATAGTCCCCAAGACTGTAAGGTGGGTGCAGGCAGGTGCTGTGTCTGTCATGTCCTGAGCTCAGTTCCAACACCATACTGTAGCATCTACCACCTCATGGGGCCACTGAATGTTGGTCAAATGAGTTCATGTTCCTGCCACAGAGGAATGTGTAAAGAAAAGAAAAGACAAGATCTAGGGAAAAGCCACATTTGAGATCAGAGTGACTGAATTTAGGAGAAAGTGCTGGCCTTCCATGTCTTTACCCTGCCATCTCTAGCAGGTAAGAGGAAGAAAGATTGTAGTGCCAAATAGCCCAGTTCTATCCCCGTGAAGATCATTTGACACCAGGACGACCATTAACCTAAACTAGAGATCGTAAAAGTCTCTGAAGAATTGAAACTGGAACCAGAAAAAACTGGTTGAATTTCAGCTTTTAATAATTCAAATGCTCATGGGCTGCAGCCCATGTATTTATTTTTCATCTAATGTTACAGTTCTAAGAAACTTAGCAAGTTAGGCTGCCTGTGGTTGTGATATATCTGCCCACTTATCAGCATTTTTTATTTTCTTGAAATTTTAGGCACAGAAAAATGAGAGAGAGTCTATCAGACAGAAGTTGGCACTTGGAAGCTTCTTTGATGATGGCCCAGGAATTTATACCAGCTGTAGCAAAAGTGGGAAGCCAAGTCTTTCCTCTCGGTGAGTGTTCTTTTGAGTTGATTTTTGATATGTACCTAAGTGGATTTTTGTCACCTGACTATATGTCTAACAAAAGATAGCCTCTAATTCTTCCAGTGCTTATTTTTTCATAATACTACCATCTTATCTGGGTTCTAGACCATTGTTCATCTATAGGTTTATTAGTAGTTGTTTTGTGTTTCACTGCCCAGCTACTTCAGGTCAGATTTTCATATTTCATTTCTCTTTAGACACCATGCTGATTTTCCAGACTGATTGGGGAATCAAGCCACAGTTCTAAAACAAACTGACTGAAGGTTTAGACATATGGCATGCCACCAGATTTCCCATTAAGCAGTCCCAAAGCATCCAGAATCACCCCGATATCTTTAGCTGCAATGAATGCCAGTAACCAAGAGATATAGTTCCCACTTTGATCATTCAGTGTTTATTACTGTACTTAGTATGTCATCCAGGTAGTTTTTCTTTGTCTTAATTTATTTCAGGATATCACTCACTTGTCCTAATTTCTTTCAGAATATTATTAATAATTTGCATAATTTAAAATTCTTAATACAACATATTTAGATTATAATTTTACATAGGAAACAAGCCTGTAGTCCAGAGCTTCTCAAACTTTGATATGTTATGAATCATCTAGAGATTTTGGTAAAGTAAAAATTGCAACTAGGCATGGCGCCCACACCTTCAGTCCTAGCACTTGGTGGCTGAAGCAGGAGGATCACAATTTCCGGCCCAATCTGCGCAACTTGGCAATTTAACAGCTTAGTGAAATCCTGTCCAAAAAAGGGCTGAGGATGTAGCTCAGTGTGAAGGTTCAGTCCCCAGTATGGATTCAATCTGCAGTTCTGGAAAAAAGAAGGGGGAGGAAGGAGAGAAAAAGAAGAAAATTTTGACTCAGTAGGAGTGGGTAGGGCTCAAGATTCTGCATTTCTAAGAAGCTCCCTGCTGCCATTCCCTTGGCTACCTTCATTAAAGAAGGTAGAGACAATCTGCAAATTATTACAAATAAGACACTGCACGTGATGAAAGTACACAGAACATTGTTTTCAGGAAGATGGTAGCATTCCAACTTATGAGTGTTTTTGTGTGTATTTACCCTTGTCTCACTCTTCAGAAGCACTAACTTTTAATTCCTTGGCTGTTTCTTCTACTATTTATGAATGTATCACTAAATGAAATGTTTATCTTCTTAGTTTATATTTTAAATAACCATCTATTGACTGTCAATTGTAGAAAATTGGAATTTATCTGATTTTTTTTCACAGCTCTCCCATAGACATATCTATGTATTTTATCTCCCATTCTCCCATTATACTTACATCACAATTTAGGCTCAATTAACTATCTAATGTTTACATTATTAAGAACATGTATTATTCTTCCCATACCATATAAAAAACTACTTACTTAAGAAATTTTATTTTTTTCTCATGAAATTAGAATTGCTTCCTTTTACACTTGCCAGTTTGGCCTGCTACATTATATTTTACTAAGCAAATATACCACAGTTTAGCCACTTTTTTGATGATGGGCATTGTGTTGTTTCAAAGGTTTTTCTCCCATAAGCAGTGCTGGTCATGAATATTCCTGTACATGTCTCCTGCTGTCCATGTGCAAGAATTTCTCTTTGGAGTATACATAAGAGTGAATTTACTACAAAAATACGTGGATGTTAAGACTTACAAGAGAATGACAACTGTTTTCCAACATTGTTAGACCCAGTTACACTCCTATCAGCAATACTTCAGAGATCTGTGGATCTATAGTCTTTCTAGGACTATATTGCTAATTTCTTTCAACTTTTTATAATTGAATAAGTATAAAATGGTATTTCATTGTATCTGTTAGCCATAATTATTTTCTCTATATTGCCAATTTCTTTCAACTTTTTATTAATTGAATAAAATGGTTTTTGTTGTGTCTATTAGCCATATTTATTTTCTCTTCTGTGAAATGTCTTTTTGTATTTTGTGAACAAGTTTCCATTGTCCTCTGTGCATTTCTTACTGACTTATCAAAATCTTTTAGACCTCATACTAGTCCTTTATACAATGTACATAATTGCAGATATCTTTCCTCAGATAGTAACTTGTTTGTACTTCATGAATGTGTAGCTTATAACAATAAGTTCTTAATTTTAATATAATTAACTTTATCAAACATTTCTTTTTAAAATATAGTGAACTTTATCAAATCTTTCTTTTCAAGTCAATGTTATGTGTATCTCATATAAGAAATCTTCCTGTATCCCAAGATCTAATAGACATTTATGAGATTTCCTAACAGGAGCTAAAAGTATTGGTTTTTAAAAGTCTATAATCAATCAGGAGTTTATTTCTTGATATAGTGTGGAAATCTAATTTCTTCTTTTTCCTTATAGACAACCTTTCCCTCAATTATATTTACAGAACAATCTCTTTTTTAACTCACTGCTCTAATAAACTACTCCTGTAAATGTTGTACATTAATAGGAGTACATTCTATATGATTTGTTACTACTGCTATCCCTGCACCAAAACTGTAGACTTTAATTACTATAGCTTTAAAATAAAAAGATATGTAGACAGGAAAGTCCTTCTCCTTACACTTTTTCTTCAGAAAGAAAGAAAATTAATGCTTTCAATGAAATGAGAAAATATAAACTTGCTTTTTTATTCTTCCATATAAATTTTAAATTATCTAATTAAGTTTAGCAAAACACTTTCTTGGAATATTTTACTCCATCACATTGAAGGGAAGGATTAAAAGTTTAGCATGGCTAGGGATTTAGCTCAGTGGTTCCGCCGCCTGCCTCGCAAGCGCAAGGACCCGAGTTCAGTCCCAGGTACCAAAAAAAAGTTTAGCATGTAGAATTTCACTGTATTTTCTAGATTTTAGTTCAACACATCATTCCCACTTCAGCTGTGCCTACGTGTACTTCCAGTCCACAGCCTCTCTGATTGATTCATCAGTGAAGTTCCTCATGCTGCCAGGCCATGATTGGGCAGGGCAGATAGCCAGTGTAGATGGCCTTTCAGGTGTTCAGTCTTCCTTTGTGTTTAGTCCTACTCCATTCCTAGCCTTCCGGTGTACCTGAGTATTTCCAGGATTCTGCAGTGCAAACTCTGCTTCCCCACCAGCCACTCCTACAGGCACCTGCATACTCAGGTAGTTAAGTCAAATATCTCTTAGGCATCTACATTTTATCTTCCAAATTTTTTCAAACTGTTGTGTGGTGTTTTCATTCCTTTTTCTTTATCCATATCTTCCTTCCTTTAATATTAATATAGTAGGATTTCAGAAAAAAAGAGTGGATACCTCCCTTCAATATGCCATGGTTAAGTCTCATGAACATTTTCAATATCTACTCTTAAAGTAGTGTATGACTTGTGTTTAGATATGCCCCCAAAGCCTCACACAGTCATAGGTGGAACTTTTTCAGAGGTGGCTGAATCTAGAGTGTGTGATGCTGGGATTGAGCCATAGTGCAGTGCTAGGGTCAAGGGCACTAGAATTAAAGGTGTGAGTGCTACCCACCCTAAGTAGTCTGGATAAGACATAAGGGGCAGGAGACTGTGGATTTAGCTCAGTAGTGCCGCCGCCTGCCTTGCAAGCACAAGGTCCCGAGTTCGATCCCAGGTACAAAAAAAAAAAAAAAAAAAAAAAACCACAAAAAGACATAAGGGGCAAAAAGACACTGTTAAGGCCCCTTGTTGCTTTTGCTACCTTTGGTAACTATGAACTGTTCTCTTCTGCAATCCCCCTCTGCCAAGCCACCCTGTCTTGGAGCCAGGTGATTATGGACTGAAACCTCTACAAACTATGAGCTAAATAAACCCTTCGTCCCTTAACTTCGGGTGTTGGGTATTTTGTCTCATCAAAGAGAGAAAAGTTATTAAGGCCAGTAGAAATATCTTGTCCCATGCAGAAACACCATATACAAAACAAAACAGTCCTCCTCTGATTCAGGAGAGTGAAGGAGAGGGATTAGAATACCTGGAATACCACTGTCCAGAAAATGCCTCCCCCAAACCTTCCCCTCAGTGTCCTGTCCCACACCTTCCCATTGGTGCCTCTCTCCAGTCCTTCCCTAAAAGTCCCCAAAGCCCACCTAAAACTTCTGGCAGAGAAAAACTCAGAAGTCTGTGAGTCAGAGACACAGGTAACTAAACACATGTATTTCACAGTAGCTCTTAACAAGCTACACTTATTGACTTGCCATAAGGAAGATTATTTATATCCTGTTCTTTCAGATGTTTTTATCTCCACATTCTGTGATGAGCTCATCCTCTGTGAGAACATGGTGACTTTTTGGATGGCCCTCAAAATGGTGGTTAATGAGACTAAATGTTTCTAAGAAATATCACTTTATCTTTGTAAACTGCAAATCTGCAAAGATTGACTGTCATCCTTCTCATCAGTAATAACCTGGGAGAAAAGCCTTCAGGAAAGTTCACTTGCCACTTTATAACCAATAGTCCTATCCCTGTTAGAAATTTTTTTCTAAAGAATTACAGTCCCTGAAAGTATTGTGCTTTGCATGCATTTGAAGGTTGGCAGTAGCTTGAGTTCACCAGTATGGTACTCCAAAATGCACCAGAGCATGTGCATTGAGTTAGCTAAATAATTGAACCAGGTAAGGCTTCTATGAATTTACTACTTTGAAGAGCTCAGTATTCAATCTTAAGCAAAGCTGGGGACTTAAAATTAATTGGCTGAGTAATAGATTTTTAACGTGTTGAGCTTATTTTTTAAGGCAGGGCCTGTCTATTGAAGTAAGTGAAGTCTTTGGCAAACTAATGGGGTTCTCTGTTTATGCTTTTTAAAGGATGTCATTTACCTGTAAAAATTACCCTCATATTTAGTCTATGAAATCCTGAGGGGCCCTGCAGGGCTGGGAAGCCTGGTATTTAAACTGTGCCTGCAAGTTGAAGTTCTCGGTTTCAGCTGCTGGATTTTTCCAGATGGTGCTATCTCCTAGAGCACTTTTTAAAAGAGTGACAAATTGTTAAATGTAA